TGTTGAAGCAACATATGCTGCCTTCAAGACGACATATTTTCCAGTGTTGAGAAAAGTAACAGCAACATCACACCGTGGTAAATGCTTTACTGTCCCTACTTTTTTGGAATGTGTTGCAAGCATCAGAATTGAAGAACTGAAGTGTTTATTTTGAACAAATAATGTGCTGCTGTATTGTTTTCAATGCAACACAGGACACAGATGATTTACAAATTACTATTTTTAGGTTTAATTTAGATTTTACATACTGTCCCAACTCTTTCTGATTTGAGGTTGTATTAGCTGCTCATGGCTCCTCATGAGGTGTGAGCATGTCTGACTGCCTGTGTGCAGTTTTGGGCTGAGAAGAATGATGGCTCATGTTCTTCTGCTAATGGAATCATGGAATTAGATATGTTTTATGTTTCAGGTACCGTGAGACTCGCCCTCTCCCCTCACCAACCATTCTCACGTTAATGAAAATTAAGACCACATTGAGGTTGTATGAGTGTGAGTGTGTATGTGTGTGTGTGTGTGTGTGTGTGTGTGTGTGTGTGTGTGTGTGTGTGTGTGTGTGCATTCACTGATTGCTGTCTGGACTTTATTTAAGTAGAAACAGATTGAAGAATGATAATTAGGTTATTAAGATGGAATTTCCCTAACTATGTCAAACATCAGCCGCATCACAGGGCAGCTTGTAAAAGGGCTTCTGGTCAATTAGAAACACACACATTTGTACACATGCACACAAACACCAAAAATAATATGAGGTCAATCACAACTCTTTCTGCTATTATCTACAATATCAAAATGTTTTTGAATTCACAGATGATGTGCTTTGTGCAACACATTCCATGTATACTAAATGTAAACTTAAAGCAATAGTTCAACATTATAAGAACACACTTCTTCACTTTATTGCCCAGAGTTAGATAAGAAGATTAATACTACTCTGAGATGTCTGTTAAATATAAGTATAAAGTTTAGCTTAGCGTAAAGACTGGAAACAAAGGAAAACAGTAAACCTAGTTCTATCCAAAGTTAACAAAGTTCACCTGCTAGCACCCCAAGAAGTCGTTATGTCTGGTACGTAATGTCTGTAAAACCACAATGTGTTTTGTAGATTAAACAACATAAGGTTCTAGTAGCCTAGGTGTATTTTGTTACCTTTGGACAAACCCTGACGTGTCGTTTGCTGTTTTCATTCTTTTAGCTAACAAGCTTCTGGCTGCAGCCTTTAAAGCAGTAGTTTGACATTTGAGAAAATACAGTTTTATGAGGATCAGTACCACTTACATTATGTGGGTCTGGTAAATATAAAGTTGTGGCTACATTTACTAAGAAAAATGAAGGCTGCGTGTAAAAATGACAATTTGCCATTTTACAGGGGTTTATGTGTTGAACAACACCTGGCAAAGAGTTGTGAGTCCAGAAAGTTACAATGATGAACAGTTTATAAAGTTTGTGTGAATTAAACACATGAGATGCGATGTGTTCATTTGTGTGCTTTAGAGATGTTCAGACAGGTCTGCACTAATTTTCCCCATTTTCAGTGAATGCTAAGCTCAGCTATATTATGCTTGCCATAGCTTCACATTTAGCAGACACATGAAAGTGGTTTTGATTTTCTCTACCTCTCAAAGAATACAAATAAGTGTATTTTCCAAAAATGTCAAACGATTCTTTTGTGTGTAGCCTTACTGCATTTTTCTCATATTAAGCTTGATTAGATCAGTGGGAGTCAAAGAAAATGTTCCAAATTTTGGTACCTCTTTTTAAAATTGTTACAGCATATTTCTTAGCTCTTTCATAAAGGTGGCAGCTGTCCCATCTGATTCGGACCAGATCTGACTGAGTGAAGCTGTCAGCACACAGGTTTGAGAACCACGTCACATCACAATCAAGCACAATCCATCAGCATCTCGAGGGGGATGATGTTGACGCCTGTCAGTCTGGAAACGCTTCCAAAAGCTCCGGGACTCTGTAGAATCCCAGCCAGCTACATAAAGTACAGGTGGAGGAACTGTGGGACAAGAAGTGATGAGCCTGCCAAAACTTTTCCCTAAGCAAAGAATAGAAAGAACATCCATTTCCACCTCCAGTAGGCCTGTCCTTGGCTCTGGTCAGCATTCATCAGGTCACCATCAAAAAGAATCTGGAAAAAAATAAGATTCATGTCAGGGTACCAAGACAGAAACCACCACATACTAGGGATAACAAATGAAGGCTTGTCTGAGGTTTGCCAGAAACCACCCAGGTGATCCTCAAGAGTGAAACCATTTGGCAAACGCACATATAAGTAGGCGGCATAACAAAACCCCTCACTGTGCATGGCAGGAAAACTAATGGAGCTGCACTGACAGTGAATCTGGATGCATCAGGCTTTGATTAAGCTTCTCTCACCATAGTCTGTGGATTACCTTATCAAATCCAGAAGATGTGGATCTGGAAACTTTAGCTCAGTTATTTCTGTTCCTTGTTTGAGGACTGTGGTTTTTCATTCTAGCAATTACAAAAACAAAAGTATTCCAATCAGTTACCTCACTTTAGTAACATTCGGGTCTTATTAGCACAGTGTTACTGTCACCAGAAGTGCCCCCGTGACAGGAGTGTACACTGTGACATGAATCTCTTTCTCAATATTTGGCTGCAAAGCTTCTTTTTTTTCTTTTCTAAATGTGATAACTACTTTGCTTTTTGAGTGTAAGAGCTTTGAGCCATTTCCCAAACTTTTTTCACGATGACAAAAGAAAATAAAGGCATTTTGAAGTCAGTACTGTAGAGGAACATACAGTAACGCTGCACAAGTTGAAGTGAACACTTGCTTATTTCATCACGTTACACATTTATAAGGAAGGCGAAGCAAAAGGCCACAGCAAGTGTTTCTCCATATATCAGTTCCCAAAACTCAGTGACGGTTTAAAAACAGGGTGATGATACGAGGAGAAGACAGGCTGTTTTGGCAAAGGTTGCGTTTATGATACTTTTTCACGACTGTTTCATCGTCTGTTTGAGTTTCAGATGTACATGCACATTTTTTCTGCATTCCACTATGGAATAGACACATCTTCACATCTTCTGGCACTCACACAGTGAAAACGCTTTTCAATCACCGTGCAGTTTTCTTGGCTCCCTATTCCACTAAACATCTTTGAAACATCTTGACAGATGAGAACAGCAGGCCGTTTGAACAAGAGCTAAACGCACAACACGTCAAGGGGAAAGGGAACCTGTGTTTTGGTTACACTGTGTAAATTATTTGTCATGATTAATTCATGAAATGTGGTCTGCGGTTTTCATCCCTCTTTGGTTTGACATATTATTTCCTGTCAGCTAGTGATTATTTTCATAATTTCTGCCCTTTAAAAAGTTTGACTTCACAATGTTTCTTCTTTAAAACATCATTGTAATCTTGTAAGTTTCATGTTTCATGTCAGCTACTGTTATCAAAGCTCTGTGTATTTGGTAATGTTTCATTACACAAATTATTTGTTATATTTGAATGACTCACTTTTTATTGACAAATTTATTGTTGGATTTCTTTACTTTTAAAGTAGTATTATTAATTCTATAAACATATTTGTCAAATAAATACTAATTAACAAATTGCTTCATAATTTGAATGTTTTAAAAGATGATGACAATAACTTAGAGTTGTAAACTTTGTATTTATTTGTTGAGCAATGTTTTGCAAAACCTTTGTCACTGATTGCCCAAATGTTCGTAACTGAAATACTTTGCAGAGCTCCTCCACAGAGGAGTCTTCTTTCTCCACTCAGCCTAATTTTGGTTACTTCAAATCAACCGATTCACATTATAATCTCTTTTCAAAATGCAATGGCTTCTAAAGCTGTATTTCAGTGTTTGTTCTCACACTTTGAGTAACACTATGTGAACGCCTCTATGAACAAGTCAAAACAAGCTCTGTCAGCAGTCCTTCTCACTCTATTCAGAATAAATCTGGTGCCAAAAAAAAAAAACATTTTAGAAATGGAAACATATTATTTCCATGGAGTAGCTCCCATAGTGTGCAAGGCATGAGACACACAACTGAAAATAAAACTATGACCATCATTAAAGACTTGTTCGTCCACATCAGGAACAAAACAGGCCTATTGTCTCACTGACCACTCTTGGCACTTGGTTCAGGTAGATCATTTAGACTTTATTTGCTCATGTTCTGGGATTTCTGCTGCAAACCCAGCACAACAGAGGAGAATGGACTCTTGTTTGTGGTCCACAAAACACTGAAAATTAATATGTAACAAAGCAACATCAGTAGTGGTTCTTGCTCTGGATCATTTTCATGGTAACTACTTCCTCATAAATGTTATTTGGGTGTATAAGGCTTAAAGTGTACAGCAGCCATGTGACACCAGAAACCTCTTATGTTAAAAACCTGGTCCATTTTAGTAGTTGATACCTGGATGACTGCCCTCTGGTTATGGTACCTGTCCAGCAGGTGGCGCTCTCTATCAGGAGGCTGCAACAGGCTCAGCATGTTGAAATTTTTCATCAGTCTAAATAGATGACTTAATAATGACTCATTACACCCAAAGTTGTCACAAAATAATGTAGTCTATTATTACAATAACGTGTGGAAAAATGACTATTTTATTTATTGTATTTTATGAACCCTGCCAACTTTACTTTTCACTGGTATGTCTTTTACCATCTTCACAAACCGGACAGGATGACTTTTACTATGATTGTGATGCAGGTCTGGTTATGTCCATGTGAACAATGGCTCAGGCTTCACCACTGTGAGAAAACAACATGGCAGTCCTGAGTTTTGTGGTTCTCCTTGGCTTTGCAGCGTACAGGTGAGGTTAAAGGTCACATTTTCGGGTGTCCACATCCTGAGAGACAATAATAATAATCCTAACTTTTTATTCATTTCATGCCATCTTCGTTTGTAGACTTCCCTGCTGCAGGCGCCCTGAAGATCAATTCCATGAATGGTGAGTAAAGGGTGGTACTTATCTCCACCCCTCGTTGGCGGTAAAGCACACAGAGAGGGAGGGAAATAAAGTAGTAGAGAACAGGGTGAGTCTGAAAACACGAAGAGAAAAGCGTGGCGTCCGTAACAATAGCTCCCCAAAGAAGGAAGTAAGCAGGGCAAAGGAAAGGCTTTAATTCGGGTATCAGGCTCTAACGGCCTACTATACACAACTATCAGCTGGAGAGACCAACTTTCAATCATTTCTTTGTACTTGGTGACCAACAAAATCATTTAGAAGACACATTTCAAGCATATTTCCTGTCAGAAAAGACAAACAACTTCAGTAAGTATAGAACTTTTCTCGCTGAAATACTCGCTATGTCGCTGCTGTATGTTATTAATTAGGTGTAATAACGTTTGTAATTTGGAGGCATCAAGCTGTAGCTGGACCAACCGGCTGCAGATACACGTGGCATGAAACCATTAGGCTGCAACTTTTACTGTGCACACAAAAGATGCACTGTACACAGGCTGTTTCAGAAACCATATTTAGCTCATATGGCTCATATTTGTGTGGCCTGAAAGGGGCTCAAGGAGGTTCGGGGGTTCAGAGAGGGGGTTCACCCCCCAAATGATGGGGAGTAGTTAGTCTGAAGGGAGCATGTTGTATCTGAAGTGAATGTGACTCCCCATTTTACTGTACGTAGGCCCTTTATTTGTCCTTTTTTCACTGAGTAGTTAACAGCATTTCAGTTATGGGACTCGTTTGTCACCTATAAACAGACACACGAGAACAGCTAAACATGTTTTTGCTAAGGTCAAATTTTGACTATAATACCGTGATATCATCTAGATGCTGTGTGTGCAGATACGTTTAAAGATAAATAATACATCCTATGATGGTGCCTTCAGGGGCACACCGTAAAAACAGACTTTGTTCTGACGTGGGATTGCTTTAAATAATAGAATAAAATGTAACTTTAAAGCGCCTAGGTGGGTTGTGTTATATGAAGTCACTGCACAAATATGATGATGACGACTGTCAAAAATGATTCTTAGAATATCTGGAACAAAAATGGCCATGGCATTGTTTTATTTTACCAACAGAACAAAGACAAAACAAATTGTATTTACTGAAATAAAACATCAGCTGGACCAGCAAATGATTTTGGGGGCTGCAAACTAAATATTTTTTCCACTATCAGTTAACCTACTGGTTATTCTCTTGACAAAGCATTTACATACACAGTTTCCACTATGGTGACATTAAATGATTAACACACACACACATATATATATAGCTTTAGCTTTAGTATATCCTGCTTTAAAGATGCTTTAAAAATATTTGATTATCAAATATATTAGGGATTAATTGTATATGGGTCAGTCAGCTGGCTCATCATTTCAGCCTCCACTGTCACAGGAAACTAGAAATCTGGTGGTCTGATACTTTTTGGGTGGTATGTGTTGAAGAACTTCAAAATTCCAGATAGCACGTGAATGCAGCAGCAGACCCTGCTGTGCCGGTAACCAGACCCCAGGCTGAGGTCATGCCCACTGAGAGACAGCTGCTTGCTGCCTGGGCAGCTTCCGGGGTTTTTGGACTCCTGGGGGAAACAGAGGCTCCTGCGGCGCGTGGTTTATTTTCTTAGAAACTTATGAAGAAAAAGAGTTTGCCCTGCGGCACTTTGTGTCCTGCAGGGATTGACAAACATGGCTGGTCAAGGTCAGAAACAATGACCAGGGCTAGATGGGAGCAGCAGCATTAAGACTTACAACAAAGAAGGATGCATGATAAATTAAATCCCTCGTGGTCAACTCCAGTTTTAATACAGGAGCTGTGGAAAATGTTTGTATAATAATAGTGTTAGGTATTTTTAGTCAGATAGATATTGGATAGATACTTTATGTATTAGAAATGTTTAGTGGAGATAGACTGTTAAATGCTTAGGCATGCTTATGAGTTTCTACAGGGTACATCTGGTCAAGGATAACTAGAGAGAAGAGTTGATGACTGTCAGCAGACAGGGTGTTTAATATTATTATTATGACGTGTATAACTGTAGCCTTAGCCATAATAGGTTCTTATGTTTAAGCCACGACATGTTACTAGAGGTCGTGAGAATGTTTTTAGCTACACCTTTCATCTTACATCTGCCTGTGAGCAGTTTGGAGGTGCAAGATACCTGAGCGTGTAATGTTAATTTTACCTGTGATCCTTTGAATAAATCAGCACTGTTTTGTAGTTACTTGGACTGTCTCGTCTCTCAGAGTTAGCATGGTAACAAGAACTGAGACCTACAATAGCACAAAATGTACCAACATGTTCTCCTTGACATTCCAAATACAGTATCTCCGCAGAGCAGTGATCTTAGTCATTGCAACATTGCATCATGCTGATTCAGGCTCAGGCATATCAGGAAACCGCTTCCTTATATGATCTGCTCTCCTTTCACACCCACATTTGTCCACACACACACACACACTTCACAATGTAATGACAAGAGCTCACAACTACCTGCCAAACCATACAAGCATCTGCCTCTGTGTATTAACTTGTTTGGTGTGTGTTGACATTCCTGCGTCACAGCACACGAGCATTCATTTCATTACCTGGAACATTTTATTTCACTGGTATTAGTTTGTTCTTGGCAGTGACAGAGTACAGTTTACACCCAGCATTGTCCGAGTGTGGATGTGTAGAGTGTATTGTGTGTGTTGATACTTGTGGTACAGACACAGCAGTCCGTGTGACAGTAGCCTTTGTACTTAGGCTTTTAATTGACTGTATTTTAAAGACTGTTTATGATTTGTTAAACAACAGATTCACATTTTGGTGAGAACATAGAGGCAGATTTGTCAAACTCAGACTGCTTAAGCTTCATACTAGTATAAATTTGCACTAAGCCAGGTCTGTGAATTTTGTCTTCTGCCTCCTTCACTGAAATTGTGTAAAGAAGAAATGATGATGCTGCAATTGTGGCCAGGGCTCGCTGACTGCAGTGGGATTACCCCTGCTTAACTATTGTTTATATAAAAAATGAAAATAATTTTGATAATAGATACTTTAAATATTTTTTAAGAAAAATGTAACATTCCCAGCATCTCTAATGTACAAATCTTCTGCTTTTCTTGACCTGGCATTACAGGAAGTGAATTTTTATTTTTTTTTGGACAATTGGTCAAACAAAACAGGACTTTTGCTAAAGCCAACCTGGTTTACAGATGTTTTATAGGTCATACATTTAGTATACATATAGATGGCAGATTAATCAGTAACAAAATCAATCATTGATTGTAGCTTTAAATTTTTTTTTTTCAACTATTAGTCTCACTCCTGACACCCGTAGCCAAGGAGTTCGCCTCTTTACAGTCTGTGCACTCTTGTAATTAGTGTGTTTTACAGGGCAGAGCGAATGAACGCCTTCTCGCAGTGCTACCTCATTGTTGAGTGTGTGTGTCTGTGTGGTTTTCTTCGTGGGATGTCACAGGGAAAGCCCTCTTTTCAAACTCTCTTTCCAGCACAAATCCAGGTCACTGGACTATGGATAATCACATTACACACACGCCTCCTGAGCACATAGACAAACTCACAGGCACACGTGAACAAATCAGTCCCATTAAATCACCTCTCCTTCTCCAGCACAACACCCACACACACGCACGCACGTGCCTAGTCAAGAAATGCCCTCATTAGGAAGTGCTGGAAGTGTTTCCTATTTGAGGCCTTGGCTGCAGCCTCTGTTCCTCTCTGCTCATTCTGTTCTTCTTCTCAGGTTCCAAATGGAATAGCTGGTTATATTTCAATGTTTATTTCTTGTTTAGATGTTTTGCAGACGTGTGTGTCATCCTGCGTGATCACAGTGGGACTCTGTGTTTTGATCCCTTTTGCCATAGGTTATATTGACCTGTAAGATTTGACCTGCCCTCTGTGTGTGTATAAGTGTGTGTTTGCTTCTAAGGTGGTCATGACTAACCTGATTTTATTTGGTCAGTCACATCATCAGTTTCAGGATTCAGTTTTCTTTGTGTTGTTGTTTACATTAAACCTCCTTTTCGACCCAGTAAGATAAAGCCAAAGCTAAATTGTGGTTACATGCTATTGAAAGCCTCATTGACTCCTCTGTGGTGCTTTCACATGGAAATGTATCCCTTTTTAAGTCACTATCCTTATTTCCAGAACAAAGGCAAACAGCCTGAGTGGTCAGCATTGTTTCCATCAGACAAACTCAAGGGTGAAATAGCTGCTGCGCCGATTCCTGAGGGAAATGCAACGCAAGGTGTCAGGTACCTACTGTACATGGGATTTGCAAAACAATGACTGATCACATGGGTACTCTTTAGGCAAACAGAAAAAAATGGACCCTCTCAAGTGTTAGGGCTCCCCAGGGAAGTAACTATAATGAAATGTGCATGTTTTATTTAGTAGGAGCCAACAGAGCAAAAATAAATTGTGAGAACACTGAGCCATTTCAAACTGTAAAGACAGCACTCTCCATCTGCATGAAACGATCCTCACCTTTGAAAAGGTAGATCAAGACGACAGTCGTTTATGAAAAATCATTGACAGTTGTTATATGACTGATCAACAGTTTGTTACGTAGATGTTGCTGTTCTGTTTCTTTACCTTACTCCGACCGGTTGTGCCTCAGGAGATAGAGTGGGTTGTCTTCGAACCAGAGAGTTGGTGGTTTGATTGTTGGCTTCCCCGGTCCACGTGTCAAAGTGTTGTCGAGCGAGACACTGAACCCTGAGTTGCTCCCACTGGTGTACGAATGGGTGAATGGGTTAATAATGTGTAAGTGCTTTGAGTGTGCTTCAGTGCATAGAAAGGGGCTATACAAGTGTAAGTCCATTTACCTTGTAATTGCCTTGTCCTCATTATCTATCCACCACTGTCCCTCCTCCCTCCTTGTCACTCCTCCATTACAGAGGAGCAGCGATGGCACTGTCTCTCGTCCAGGCCTACAGGAGACGCTGGTGGATGGCAGTGACGGCGGTGATTGAAAATCTGCTGTGTTCGGCTGTCCTGCTGGGCTGGGGCTCCCTGCTCATCATGCTGAAAAGGGAAGGCTTCTACTCCCACCTATGCTCAGGTCAGCATCACTGACCCTTCACTTTCTGTTTGGAGTCATGGAGACACAAACGACATACTTAAAGTTGGTTTAATATGTTGATACCTAATTATTTTTCACAACATTATGAGAATTAAATCGTCTAAATGTGATTTTTGAATTGATGACGGATATCTCCGACAGAAAAGGGTCCATTCATCCTGTTTTGGATTTTCATTGTGGATGGATTTGGTTACACTGGATTTGTTCTCTATCTGTGATTGATACTGACAACATGTTTTATGCATCATGATCCTTCACAGATCCCAAATAGATCTATTCAAATTATTTTGAATAGTTACTTCATAACAGGGAGTTGGACCCACTATTGGAGGCTCTGACATCAGACATATGACGCAACTACCATAAAACTCAAAACATGTTTCGTTGCCCTTTCTCTGTGTGCACACTTTTATCATCCACCACTCTTATTATCCCACCTTGTTTGTTTCCACAGAGAATGACTCCATGGTCGTATCCTTGGGCAACTCCTCCAGTGGCGAGGCGCACAAGTGGCTCAGCTGCGTGGACCAGGAGGAGATGCTGAATCTGGGTTTCACCATTGGCTCCTTCTTGCTCAGCGCCGCCCCCCCACCCC